CATTTAGCAGTGCTGCACAGCAGTAGTTGTAGAACTGGCAATGACAGTTCAAATCGTCATAAATACATGCAATCAAAATTTAAAAGAATTATTTTTCAAAAAAATAAAACTAGTATATAAATCTCTAGCTTCAGTCTTGAGTATCAATCCACTTCACATTTCATTTTTATTGAAGCTTGAACCTATCAATGATAATATTAAATTCCTTACACAAGCTTACTGTTATTATTGTTATTCTTCTTTTTGTATGTAGTGCTCTTAGCATCACTAGCAGTAGTAACCACTAGTGATCCCAGGCAGCGCCACGTGGAGGCGGCACTACATTGCTGCCCAAAAATGAAAACAATCTGAGGCCCTAGTCAAGCGGCTGACACTCGCAGGCCGCATGACTACTGAGGCTCCAGGTTGTAAAAAATAATAATAAAGAATAATAATAAATAATAAAAATAACAAATTATAAACGATAATAATAATTAAATAATAATAAATCATAAAACCTAGATCTATAACCTATATCTACACTATATAACCTATATCCTATAACAACCTGTTTCCTAATTTCTATACTATAACTACCTTCTACTTTCTACTATATAACACCTACACCATAACCTAATATAACTATACCTGCCTCCTAATTTCTACTACAATACCTATACTATACCTATAACTACCTTCTCACCTCTACACATAACCTATATCCTAGGTATCACTACATGTTTCCTATAATTATTTATTACACTACACTGTATAACCTGTATACCTAACACTACACGTTTCCTAATTTCTACGACTAAACCTACACTATATAACCAGTACCCTTCTAATTCCTACTGCTACCTATGACACAATGATGCCTACGTGTACATGTAAACCATCATAACCTTGCTATAAAAGTACATTCTCATCTTATAACACCATACCACTATATTTATATCTACATTAACTTATTAACCTATGAATCTTACTATGACACAAAGATACCTATACCATATTAACCTTGCTATACAAATACATTTCTATCTTAATATCATACCATATTACCTATACCAAGAGTACATGTACTCTTGCCTATACCTACAACTTATAATGTATACACAATTTAATGTAAGACAAGTTATCATAATACTATACCATTATCTAATGACCTATTACTCCCTACTATCTTAATGTCTAAATATTTTAACCTCTACAACATCAACATAATGAGTAGTTCAATACACAGTCTACCACACAATGTGCATATTATTAAGAATAATTATTAAATTAAGAATTAATTGTGCATCCTATAAAATAACAATAGACACCTGTCACGAAATGCAACACAGAAATGAGATTTCGCTAAAATCGTGTCAACTTAAAGCGTTATGTGCATCAAAACGTCAGATCACGCACATGTTAATTGTAACGTTACGTTGATCATAAACCTACATTGAAAGTTACTAACTCATGTGGCAAACACTAATTAATTGATCCTAAATCAAAGCTACAGGATTGAGAGAGAGATCAGAATGAGAATTAGGAAGCTAGTGCCCAGGTTCATCAAACTACCTGCATCACAAACCTCACCAATCTACCCACCGTAACATGGCTTAGCTCAACTGTATTGTGTTTGCCTGCTTTTAAGTAGTTAAAGGATTGAGGCAAAATAGATAAAGAAAAGTCTGATCCTTTCTTCTGCTTAGAGTCCATATCACATAAAAAAGGAAAGAGAAGAAGAGAGGGTTCCAAGCATGAGATATTAGGTGCCTCAATCCGACCCAAAAGGGGGACACGACTTCTCCCA